AAAAAAAAAAAAAAAAAAAAAAAAAAACACATCATAGTAAAATTAATACCTTCTCAGCTTCGCATCGAAGCTAAAAGAGAATTATTTATTTATTGTATAAAATTATTTTAAATTTAAAAATATTAGAACTAATTTTATTTGTATAAAAACAAATTATACAATAAATAAATGTTGTTTCTTTATTGTGATTTCTTACCATATTCCCATTGATGGGAATGCTGGGCCCCAATCCCATCCAAATGAAGATTGCATTTTTCTTAAATAATTGACATGGCATTCTCCGTGGTATTCTTTAGGAACACATAACGGTGGTATTGGATATTCCGATTCGTTGAAATATTTATTAGCAATACCGACAGGAGATTTTATTATAACATCTAACACATTTTCTCCAGACTAAAAGAATTTACAAATATGATTTACAAATTTTTGATGACAAAGAGGAATAATTCTTTAAACATTTACTTATTAAAATAATAAAAATTTTGCAATAATTTATAAGGGTGTATTTTTACTTTCATAAAATGTTGAAATTTTGCATAATTAGAAAAAAAAACAAAATCCTCATTACATAATTTAAGAAGTTAATTTCAACGTTAAATGAAAAATTTAACATTTTTATGAAATTTAATAAATGTTTTGAAGTAAAAAAATTTTAAGTGTACTTTTGGAAAAATTTGCCAGGAGTTATATCATTATTGTTGCCAATAAAATATTTCAACAAGATTTTTGATCACCGATTTTACCAGAAATAATAATAACCTTGAAATAATTTTTTTAAACTTTATTGAGTAGTATTTGTTAACTCAACCCAACAAATAGCAGCCAATCTATATTTAAGAAGAGTTTTTATTACTTCCAAAATACTGAATCAAAATTTGTTTTCAACCATTCTATTATTCTAGTATATAATACACTTATAGAGCAAAAAGGATAATAGACCTAAAAAAATATTTTATCACTTATTAATGAAAATCAAAGAATACTTCACATAAAAAAAAATATCCCAAAATTATTATTTATGAAAAATTTAATGATTAAATCAATTACCCTGTATTAATTAATATAAACTTATATTTTATATAAAACCTTAAGTTTTAAATATTATATTAATACAAAAAATAATTTTAATTGTTCACTCATAATGATTTAAAAGTTATTAACAAGTCATGTATTTATATTTTAGGAATAATGTTACTATCATCAGTGATATTGACACGCCATCCGTAAAATACCCCTTATATACCCCTCCTAGTAATCTTATCACCAAGTCGATTGTCACATTTTATATTTTATATAAACCTAATGGAAGTAGCTAAATTTCAAGTGTGGTCGAAAGTGAACTCGAGATAGTTGTAAAGAACGGTATTTTTTTAAATATTAAATAAACCAAATGTAAGAAAAAAAAATAACATTAAAAAACAAGTATTAGTAGCATTTCTAAAGAAGTTATCTTTTATTTCATAAAATAATTCTATTATACTACCTCCAAATATTCATTTATTGGAAAATCATACTTGACAAACATGTTATTTGTTGATCCAATGAACTTTTTGTTTAAGTAAACATTTCCGTACGTATCTATTCCATCGAAAACTAATATATATTTCGTTACATTCTTTGAACAACTCAATTTTACTGCAAATTATAACAAAAGAAAATTAATACGTTTTTTAACTACACCATAGGTGCAAATATGGTGGAGACTGTAGGCTTAGCCCCTCTAAGCAAAATTTTAGAAGTTTACACATGATTCTATACAAAAGAATTTAGGAAGGAATGTTGTTTGGATTTTCAAATAATGAGCTCCTCAATAAAATTGAGCCAGTGAGCTAAATTATCTAATATTTCATAAGATTTGTGTTAATACTGAATTTCATCATGCATTTTCATTAAAATTAATCATTGGTTATTTGTATGACAACACTAGTATCGGCGATATAATTTGTGACGTCCTAGGCAAATTATAAACGCAAGATCTAAAATTAATAATTATACAACCAAATAACTATTTTTTTGCTCATCATATATCTGTACGTATCCCCAAAACTACATAATAATAACAACCAAACCTTGTATATAAACCCTATTAGTCCGTGTCAATATCCCCGTATCAATTCTACAAGATAAGTAAAGATACGTAATGTTTGTAAAACATTAATACTCTAACTCGGCGTTAAGCACGTAATGTTATGACATTTTAAACATGTTTAAAAATTCAAAAATTTCAAAATTTACTGTGGTCTTATGGGACATTTTAAAATGTTTATTTATGTTTTAAACAAATTTTTTTTTAAATATATTTTAACTCTGCAAACATGCAATGGTATTTAATTTTAATATTGACGATTATTTAAAATTAATATTACGAAAAATCGTATATTATACTTTATAATATAAAGTTTTAAATGTATCCTTAATCTATTATATAAAGAAGATATCCCACTATTTAATCCTTCCAGTAAGAAAGTAAATCATTAATTTTTATAAAAAAAATCTATAATCTATACTTTTTATTTATTACATTTTCTTAGCGAAGCAATATTGTCTTTTAATAAGAACAACTACTTCAAACTGTATTGGACCCACGAGACGGTAAACCAAAGTTTGCATATACAATTATCTAGTTTCAAGAGACTTAAAATAAGTAAAATATTCTAATAGTTAAGAAAGTATGATACGACACTACAGTTCTTTTCTAATAACAATATTTGAATAGGTTGGGAATTTCAATCAATATTATAATTTTATGTGAAAAGTGAATAATCTAGTAATTTTATACAGAAATTTCAGTTGTTAGTTATTACATAATATAGTAATTCTATTTTACTAAAATAAGAAATATGGAATATTTTTAGTACTATATTTAATTTTTAATTTTTTTGATATACTAAGTTTTATATAAATTATTAAAATTTTATTTAATTTATTTCAACTCAGTAAAAATTTAAAAATGATAAATAAACTAACCAAAATAAATTTAATACACCCAATTTTTGCACTTATATTAAAACTCTCTACAAGCAAGATTAATTGTTAAAAATTTGATATAAAAATAACGATTAGTACAATGACCGATAAAATATTATTCATTGAATAATAATCAAGCTTTCAGCTTCACATATTCAATCAAACATTTTTGTTAGTTAATATGTTTATGTCAATAGTAATAATGAAAGAAATAAAAATTATATTCATAAAACGTTTGTACAGTTGTTTTATTTACGTAATGTTGTGTTTGTATTTAAAAAAATTAACGTCACTTGGTAATAAACAAGAAATTTCTAATAAAAATATCTTTTTAATTTAAAAATTAATCTTCATAACTATTCCAAAAATAAGTTTAAGGTGATTAATGAAATTAATATAAAATTAAAAATTAATAACATTTTTACGAATTTTATGTCATTGTCTTTTTTAATTAACTTTAAATTGAACTAAAATAAATTTTAATAAATTGTTTGTTAATTTAATTATTCATATTTGAAGTTAATGTTTTATTTTTTGTACACTATTTTATCCTTTAAAAATGTTCAGCTAAATTTATCTAAAAAATGTATTTTTAATGTATTTCTTTTTAGACTTTTATTTAATCATTAAAATAAAAGTAACCTTGTCTGATAAAAAAAATCAGCTTATTCATACAAATACACAGTTAACAATAGTTACTGAATAACTAAACGTTTTCAGGAATGGGAGCGAGATGGAGCGCAGCCTAGCAATGCGCGCGCAGATAAACTTATTAAGTAGCACTGCGGCGTTGCTTCTATTCTCAAAAATACTTATATATACCACAAAACTCGAATAGTCTACAAAATATTTATTGAATGTTGTAATAAGGCAACAGTCTTCTTTGACAACTCAGTTTTTATCAAAAAATTTCGCATAATTAGTTAATTATCTACAAAACTATAATTTAAATGGTTATTTTATTTTTATTTTATATTTAAAATAAATATAAATAATATCTAATATATATATAACATCGATATATTATTTTAAAATATGTATTTTAAGCAAAATAATATACAGTTATTTTTGAATTTATTAAATTATATTTTTGTTAAAAATTAACATATGAATCATATATAATGATTTATACTTCACCTTATCAATATACATTTTAAATGTGCACATCTTAAGATTTTTGAGCAATATGAAACTTTTTGAAAAAGTTTAACAGTTTTTAAATTATAAAAACTATTTTTTAAATTTATTTCTCGTCAGATATTTAGATAATGAAAAGTATTTCTAAGAGTTTTTTCATACTAATTTTTCGTGAGATTTTCGCAGGTTAAATTAAGTACTTAATCAAGTATGTAATTAAGGAGAGAATGAAGGGAATATCCTCCCAAAGCAAAAATATTTACATTATGAAAAACAAATATTTTTTCGCTGTAGAGTATAGTAAACTTTAAGTAAATTTATCTTATGTATATCCCCAACAAAATCATTATTATATCATTGTTCTTAATATAATTTAACCTTATGACAGAATATATTAACTATTAAAATTTATTTATTTAAACTGTGCAGTTTAGCAGGGCATTGAAACGTCTGATTTAAAAAGTTCAATCATGATATGAAAAAATAAACGAAATAATTATTGATGTATTAAAATTAAGCTAATAATATTGAATTAATTATTTCATAACCATTTCTGAACTTCTTTAATTTTCCACGTGTGCTATTAAACACATTATTTCCAACAATGGTTATATTTATTAAACTCTTAGACATATCAGCATGTCCTCTTTGTATGGGGTCCTTAAAAATACAATTTTGCGCACAGAAACGTCGAAATATTGAAAATCTAAAAACTAATATGAGAAAAACTTACAGCACACTATTCACGTCTGAAAGGATAAAAGTCGGCCGTTATTCTTAGGGTCAATCTCTCCATATACAAGTGACCCTAAATTCTAAAAAAAGAAATTGCAAGACTTATTATTTTTTAGTTATCATATGTCTAACATGGCCCAAATTTTACCTTATTTAGAGCGGTACAGAAAGAAATCCCAATTGTTATTAGCCAATAATTAGCTGATATATAATTGATATAATAATAGAGAGCAAAAATTAAATTTAGTGATAAAAAATTATATTTATGTTATTAATACATTATTTTAAATAGTTTTTGTCAAATATGTATAATATTAATTTTAACGGGTTCAATTTCCTCCTTCGAAAGGATCCAAATCTACACAAATCATAACGAAATCTTTTTGTTTATAAAGTATAAAAAAATAAAAAACAATAAATAGCAAAAATGTATGTGAATAGTTAAAAAGTAGAGAGTGCGTGCTTGTCACTGCGTATAATCCCTTGGAACCGTCTTTGTGGCTTATTGAGGTTCCCTACAATTGACTGATTTCTATGTGCTTATGGTCATACATTTTTACTATATCAGGGATTAAACAATAAAATCGAACCCTATTTTTTATAAATAACTTTTAACTATTAGTTTTGAAACCTATGATTTAAGTAACAGTAATTTTAGTAGTCGAACAAGCGAAAGTAATTCAGCTGAACTCGACGTGAAGTAGGTTCAGATACATAATACGGGAAAAATGTGTTTGGTAAATTTGGCAACGTCGCTGCATGGTTGTTTCGTGTTTACGCTCATAATCTATCCGAATGGCTATCCGCAGAGGAATATTGTTTATTCTTAATATCATGATTTTTTTGTAAATTAATATTTTAAAAAGTGAAATTAATAGTACTACTCTTCAGTTCATATTTTTATATAAATCTTGCAAAATCTATACGATTAATTTTTATATTTACAGATATAAAAATTTATTTTTAGGAATAAGTACAATAATTTTAGCAGAAACATCAATGATGACATTCTAATTTCCGAAAATACGTTTACCACACTTACAAATAATCCAATATTTTTTCGTACATCAATAAATATTTATCATACATCTATTGATAAATTTCGAACTTGTAGAGTAGGGTCATAGAAGAGACATTACAGATTAAATCTGTTAGTGATTAAAATTACTATCGATAAATACTTCGATACTATTGCGCTTCAAGAAAGTCGATTATTCTAACTTTCGTATAGTTAATTATAATTTTAGTACAAAAATTTTAATTTTAATATATCATAATCCATGGGTAACTAGAAGAGATTTTTTTCTTTATTTACAAGTTAAATAAACAATAGAATCTGCAAAAATCTTCCAATTTAATATTTTTTTAATTCTTTTTAAAAACAAAAGGTTACTAAAAAATGTTTACTAAAAAATGTTTACTATGAAAATAATTTGTAATAGATTTTCAATTAAAATAGGCATATATATATATATATTAAAGTTATTTTCTAAATGTATACGTATACACAAACCCAACCTTATAAAACACAAATGTATTGATGTGTACTTTTTAAGTATAGTAGTAAGGTATCTGCTATACAAGTTATCCCATCAGCAAAGACGAATTTAGAGTGGGGCAAGTGAGTACCATCTCCCCGGGCGGCAAATTTATTTATTTGCAAGTTTATTTGGAATTAAGGGGCGACAATATTTCTTCGTAACTATAATATATAAAATAGGGGATGTAGGGGATGTAGGGGAGGCAATAAACTTTACCTCTAACTTTAAACTCTACTCAGAGTAATGATTGGCACAACTAAATAATTTTAACTGTAGAAAAATCGTTTAATTAAATGTTATCCCTAAACAATCTACACGCAATGTTTGGGATGCTTAAAGAAGTTTAGTACCTGCTCGAATTTTAAAATTAGTTCCCCTAAAATTTCAAAAAAACCACATATATATTATATAAAATTAAATTTCAAAGAGAAAGTTAGATATAATATACTTTTTTAAAAATTTTGATAAAATTGCGCTTATAGTAAACACTTAAAACTATTAAACTATCAAAGGAAGTTATCAATGTTTTTTTTTTTAAATAGTTTATTATCCACGCTCAAATTCAGGTATATTGAAAATCTAGAACCCTCTCCGAAAATTATGTATATTTTTAAATACTAGTGAAATTAGAATAAACAAATAACATTTTTTTTATTATCTGATTAAAAATGGTCAACTTAAAAATGTTAACATTTAATATTTATAATCCATTATAATATAATGATTATATTATAGGTAATTTCAATTAAGTATTACGATGTTTCAACTATTATATAGACAAATATTAATAATTTTTTAATTTTTAATTTTTAGAAAAGATGACCTGATTATTTGATATTTGCCAGTCTTTGCGGAATTCACTAACACCAAATTTTCGTTTAACTTCTATTTACTCAAAATTAATATTGTGTATTAAAAAAAAAATTCAAAAATACAATTATCAAACCAAACATTTTTTTTCTGAGCTTCTATTTAAAGTTTTACAGCTGAGTATGGAATGAATTTACTAATGTTTCATATGTACAATTTTAATTATTTTTCAAGTTATTATGAATAATAACTATGAAAAATAATGACTAACGCAATAAAATTATACGAATTATAAAGGTATGGATAAATAAAAAGGTTATCAACACTTTATACGGTACTTAGGGTGCTTTGACCAACCTCCTTTAGGAGCTCTGATTGAGATCTGCTGTCTTTTACAAATCAAATTCTTAAACATTTTTTTTAAATGTAGTTTTATAAATCGTTAGCACTTTTGATATCATTATTTACAATGTTAAAAATTATAAATTGAAATTAAAATATAATATTAAATATTTAAATGACTAGTATCTGAATTCCAAATAATATTTACAGTGAACAGTTTGAAATTTATTGAATCTTATTATTATAATTGAAGTGTTAAAATATGTAACGATACAAATATCTATTATCCATGTCTATCAATGTTAAGATAGTTATCAATTCTTATGAAAAAAATCACGAGAAATCGATTAATGGCGTCAGAATTAATGTAGTTGCACGCTATCTATACAAAAAAAAAATTAAGTTATGCATTTCATTTAATGTACTTTTATAAATTGCTTTCTTATTAAATTCAAAAATATTAGTTAGGAAAAAATAGTTTTCTATAGTGATCATTCTAATTACAATACTTAAAAATTACAAGTGATGTAATTTCCTTGTCCCATAACTCATTATAAAAAGTTATTTTTACGAAATGACATTTAAACAAAATATACGGGAATCGAACAATATAATTATATATTTTCCTTATGTTTACCAAAGCGCACTCCTTGATAAGTTTTAGAACTGTATAATAAAGAAAATATTGGAAAAGTAAAATATTAATTAATTAAATTCAGCTTTAAACAAAAAAAGTTATTTGAAAATTTAATTGTAATTGTGATTTTTTTGTAAGAAGCAAGTTTACTCAAATTTTATCAATTTTAGATTATGTATAAATGATTTTGAAACATTTTCAGTGTTTAGCTATATAAATGTTTTTTTATTAGCATTTCAGTTATTTTTAATGGTTATTTGAATTTGAAAAGTCCTATTTACCATCAAAAAAAATATTTCGTTTTTTAGGTCTTCTGAAAAATGGTCATTTTTTACTTGATGTTAATTCTTTTGTACAATAAATACAAGACTTGAGTTTAAGGAAAATCGTATAAAAATGATGCAAATGATATTATATAATATTTAATATATTAACACATTAAAAACAAACATTAAGATCACCATACGATCAATCGAGAATACAATGGGGGTCTAAGAGAAATGCCCTAAAATATTTCTTCAGGATCTGAACATGATAAAATATTTTAAATTTCAAACTCCATGAACTGTATTCAATGGTATAACGAGAAAACTTGGTAATAAAATGTTGATATAGTAAATAGTAAAATAATAATTGTGATTATCGTTACACTACATACCTAAAATTTTACTTTCATCATTAATCTATTCAATAAAAAATAACACATAATACACCTATCCAAGCTGTGGGACAAAATTATTCGCCCGAGTATTTCGTAAAATTTTCGTTAATCATTGCGTAGTCATTTTAGTTTCATACGTGGGTAATCTCTAGTCATAGTTGCAAAATATTTACAATATTATATAAATTCAAAATTAATGCTATAAAAATAAAGAGCATTTATAATATTAAAATTTGACATGGAAACAAAAATTTATAACAACCGTTAAATGTCGTTGAATAATTCCAATCGTTGACAGACACCCACCGATATTTTAAGTCGTTATACCGATACAAAGGATCTTCGGTGAGCACGCCGTTGATTCGCAAGTCAGTGTAAATGCCGCCGGGCACCCGTACTATTCCTGTAATACCTACGCAACACCGAAAAGTTAATTTATATCTTCTTTTTAAAATGAATTTTTTAATTAGTAATGAATTTGAGATGGGTAGATAAACTTACTACCATTGCTATTGCTTAAACGCCAGCTGTCTGAGTCCAAAAGCTGGACGTGACCCTGGATTTCTATACTTAGGTATAAAAAAAAAAGAATAAAAACTACAACGGAAGTCATTCTAAATGCCTCATCCGGACGGACGGCACGACTCGCACTGATTTTTATATACACAGTGCAAAATTACTTATCTATCTTTTTTTTTATTTACTGTTGATCGCTATAATACCACCGCCGTCTGAAATGTTATCACCTAATATTTGAGCGGCAAATCTTATGTGCCACCAACAAAAGCATGGATAATAATAATGATACTAGTGTAACATTGTGTGCGTTTAAAGAGAATCTGCGTACGTGACGGAACACGCATGCTCCCCCTAACATGTCTCGCCTATCAAATAAACAGTACTAGGGGTATGACGCGGCGGAGGGGTTCGGTAAATACAATTATTACAACCCGCCGCGTAATCGTCCGGTCGCGCTACTAGCAATACGAGCAGGCACTAAGCAGTGGAGGCATAGCTCGTCAGTCGAAGTTTGACTGCTTTGGCTTACGGACGTTTTGTCTTAAGTGGCCTTTTTAGCCTTAAAATCGATATTCGTAATACTACGGTAATAAATTGTTTTTTTTTTCGTTTCTCGTTTAAGTTTTAAGAATATTTTTTTTTTAAATTCAGTATTGTCGGTGCCAATAACTAGTAAATATCAAATCAGCCGCAGCCCAACGACAACAATGGAGGACGTTCAAAATGGCGCTGTTGTTGCCGCACAAGCGCCCAGTGATACTTGCGGGATAATCGAAAACTATGACAGTTGTACACCACAGACAGTGTCCATAGCGCCCTCTTGTGGCTTAAATTTAAACAACAATAACAACTCTGTCATTAAAGGACAGCTTAAGGTACTCTAAGCTTAAATGTTAATCATATGAAGTACTATGTTTAATCAGATGATTTTTCAATTAAAATTATTAAAATTACTTAAGGAACCTAAAATACATAATCCTCAATGATAATTATACTGAGTAGATTTATAATATCAATGCCTATTTTATGGTTATGATCTTAATTCACAATTTTTTTTTATATGCTTTTAATTAAGTATCGGAAGTTATTATTTCAATCACAAATTACTTCTAAATATTAACATAATCTAAAGCCAATTGTATGTATATATATATATTCATAACAAAAACCTATCTGTGTGAAAGGATCAAGTTCTTACCCCTCTCACCCGTAAGAATCCGTTTATGAATGTAATGATTCCTAGTTGATTCTTCAAGTTGGCTATTTCTTTAGTTTCTTAACTTCATGATAAACAATCACCCTTAATTCTTATTGCTTAATGTATTTGAATATAGCATAAAACAAATATTACCACTTTTTAATATAGGCTATCTATCCTAATTAAATGCTCTTGCCGTAAGATGGTTTATTTTAAAAAAATTACAATTTTTAAATTTTCTTCATTACTTAAATTATAAAATTTACCTTTGTGTAAAATTTTGCATTTTTACCTATAGGAGGAAGTGTCAGTTTTGTTACCGAGTCAGCAACAAAAATTTAAATTTTGAAATTCTACCATTTTGAATTGACTTAATATAAAGGCTAAATTTTTTAGTGTTTTAAGATACTAGATCCTGATCAATAATATAAATTTCAAAAGCCTGCATTAAGAAGAAACAGAGATAAGGTGTTTAGAAAAACAAGACAAGTTTTATTGCATAAAAATATACCCGCTTTGCTAAAACTTAGCCAACACTCTACTGTTCACTCAAATACTAAAAAAATTGACCTATTGTAATCAGCATTTTTATTTTTAATGAATTTCTCTCAAATACCGATTCAAAATGTAATTGATAATTATATTAATACTTTTCCAGGATAATAATTACTGATTTATGAAGTAAAATGTTCAAAACTGGACTCAGTGTTCTTTAAGATTAACATTTAATTTGAATAAATTATAGTTATTGTTACACTTAGATTCCCCATAATAAGATTTCTTTAAAAAAAACCTAATCACATTGCAATCATTATAAATTGTGTAGAAGTGTTTGATAAAAAAAAAATATTTATTGATGTAGACATTATCATATCTGATAAATGATTTTGAAACCATATGTTAAATTTAAAACATTAATTACAGTCTCATAAATATTTTCAAATTATTTCAAAACTAAGTTTGCTTTGCCTATTAATCCTATGAAATGTTAAAAAACTAATGTTTTGAACTAACTAAAAATTCTTTACATGATAAATATTGTCCATTGTATACACAGTACATAACTTTTTTTATGTTCTGTAATACATTACAAAGATACCAAAAATGTAAGCTATCAGCTGACTTTATTCACCTAATAATGATTATTTTATTTGCCAAATCTAAAATTTGTAGAAAGAAGAATTAAAAAGTGTATTTCAGTGACAAAAACAGTTATAAAAGCCCAATAGTTACTTTTTATTATTTCATTTATATCATTATTTTAACATGAAATATAAAAATGATTTTCTTTAAAATCAATAAAAGTATTTTTAAACAAAATAATATTTAAATATGTGAATGATAATGATAAGACAAACATAGGGATAATTGAGGCTTATGGCCATTAGGGAACTTATTCAATATTCAGACATTGGCTACCTCCATGAGCCACAGCTGCATTATTCTATAGTACAGTAGCATAATGATTTAGTTTGTCCCTGACTCTTGATATATTAGAATAAATGTAGTTTATAATTAAAAGCTGGTTTATCAAATATGTATTTGAGTTTATTATAATTTGTAAATGTTTCCAATCATATACAACTAAATTAAAAGTCTTATTTATTGAGATAATTGGTTTTTGTACTTCAAAAATATTAATTAACACAATACATTGAAATTTTTTATTCCTCTGAAAAATTGCTATATAGGCTTTAGAAAAATAGCCACTGATGTGTTGATTGAAAAAAATTTAGATTTGTATTGAAATTAAACATTTCATTATATTTGAATTATTATTTTTTTTAATGTTCCATTTGATTTTTTACGACAGAATATAAATAGATGAAAATTATTACATTAGATTCTCTCCATATGTTTTTAAATATCATTTATAAATACTTCATTAAATTTGAATTTACTATTTCTTACAGTAAATGTTTTAGGTTATTCAGATTTGATACTCTACTAGCATGAAATTTAATTTTTGTAATACTCAAAAGAATTTTAAAAGCTTTTTACCATCTAAAGTTTTAATTTCATTCAATTCTTATTCTAGAATAATTAAATATTCTACAATTATTAATTTTAAAGAAAGTTTTTATTTCAACTTTACTAGTCAATTCAAAAAATATTTTTAATTATTGTTTGTGGTATTTTTAATATAAAAATTAGGAATTCAAATTAGAGATCAACTTTTGAATAATATTATTTAAAAGTAATAAAATTACTTAACTCTAAAAACCAAAGATATATATTTTGACAAGTTATTATCATCAGTGCTATATAAATAGATTAATAATAACTTTAAAAATAATTAAATTACTCATTTAGAGTAGATGATGATAACTTAATTGTGAAAGTACAATGAGTTTTTTATTAGGAATATTTTTAAATAAAATTTTAATATAAAAATATTATTTTCAATACTAATTCATTATAGACATATGAAAACTTTTGTAATTTTAAAATTTGATACTCCTTTTAAATAATTTTATAAAGTAATTAATATTTAAACTCTTGATTTAAAAATATAGTTAAATCATGTAATTCCTTAAAATTCAACTGCCATTTGCTTAAATTAGTTATTCATTTTTTCATCCTATATATTTAATTATTGAAGAATTATATCATAGTTTTTGATATTTAGAAACTAGGGGAAAAAATATGTATTATAAATTACTATTTATACATGGAATATTTGTAAGAAATCAGTACTGGACCTACTTAAGAATAAATGATTATAACAAAATAATTTGTGAGAAACTAAATTTTATCAATAGTTGATTAACTTTATCCTATAACCAATTTAAGTTTATTTAAAGTATCTAAGGGATCGGTGTATGTACAACATATTACTATTATTATACTTTACTTTAAATTTATATTAATTTATTAAAAAGTCCTTTCATTAAACAATCTTATGTTAAAATACCAATTGCTGTTTTTTTTATCAATTATATTATAAAAAGTAATAAAATAGAAACCTGTCTTAAACAAAAAAAAATTTTGTTTTGAATATTTTTTGGATATTTCTAATTGTAATACATTTAATGTAAATATAGCTTTTAATTTAGATGACAATATTATAGTAGTATATGAATATAATAAAACATTTTCTCCTTATAGGCGCCTGGAAATACTGATCATAGGATTAGACGTCCTCGTAGAGGAAAACGTAAAAGTAAAAAAATGCCATATGTCAAAGATAGAAATGATAGAATGTATCGTCGAAAAGCTGTTGCTCCAAATAATACCAATCAATTCCTCATGGATGATCATAATGATGGACCTGATATAGATTTAAAATTATTAGAAGTTTCTGCACGATATAATCATGAAAATGGTCGAACAAGAAATTCCAGTTATACGAGTGTTGAATCAGATGTTGAACATATTTATTCATCATCAGATGAAGATGCAGCATCCATGCAAAAAGAATTTTGTGATACTTATAGACTAGTCCAAGAAGAAGAACTAGCTGGTTTAACAAAGCAAGAACTTACTCAAAGAGTGCTGGATTTAGAAGAAAAAATACAAATGCTTGAGTCCAAAAAGTATTACAGATAAATTATATTTCCTTTTTTATAAATTAGATTTTGTTCGAAATTTTGATTAATTTATTATTTCAGGTATAGGAAAAACATAATGATGTATTTAAATGGTACATCTAAAGATGATGAGGAATCTATAGACCCAGACGAATACAGGTTAATGCAAATGCAAATCAGAGAATTAACTTCCCAAAATAAAGTACTTCAGACTGAAATTGAAACCCTTAAACAAGTTCAGTCAAGGACAAATGATTCTGATAGTTCTGTTGATAGTGAAAGTTCTTCAGATTCTAGTGATAGTTCATCCAGTTCATCAGATGGACAAGAAATAGAAATGAGCTTCCTAGTTAGAAGCAGTGGAAGAGATCATGATGATCAGAGGCAAAAAAATGAATGATGAAACCATTATGATTGTAATACTATTACCCCCTGTAAATATTTAAGCATAAATTTATAATTATTAAANGTATGAACTCATTTATGGGTTTTTACGGCAAGGGCCATGCAAACAAAAGTAAACTATTATACGCCTCAGCGGCGTCGATATGTCACTGGCAGTCGCCAACGAGACGTCCAAATTCAACCAAGTATCAAAATAATATTACAATTATTATTATTATTATTAATATAAAAATGTAAAGAAATAAACAAAAAATAAAATAAAATGAAAATATGTATATGTATATATAATACATTACAAACTGTTTAATATTGTTTTGATACATAAAATTTCAAGCAAGAATAACGCTTATTTAAAATCACTCGGAGAAATAACATAAATTTTTTCCATCATAAAAACTCCTAAGTTGTCCTTAATATATACACAAATGTTTCCAATTAAAATTTCAATATTATCAAAGTATAAAATTTTTTTTTGATTTTTTGGACATCAAATATGAATTAAAATAAAAATCCAATTAAATATTTCAATTCCAGGCTTTTAACAAATACAGTTTTACAAAAAGAAATGAAAATAAAACAAAAAATATTAATTAAATGTCATTAAACAATGTATGAAAAATATAAAAAAGAAAAATTCACAATTTAATTACTTTTACTTAATATAGGATAATTAATAATTGTTACCACCAATCATTAAATACCATTGACAACATAACAAATCATCCTTCATATGATGTTCTCTGGATTTTTTGTCCATTAATAAGTCAAAATATATAGCAATATAGTGCTTAATTTTGGTATAGCTTTTAGTTAACAAATCTAGTAGATCCGTGTTTTCTATTGAATTATCTAAATAACAATTTATTAACAATATTCATCATATTATGAAAATAGGAAAATACATTAATGCTCATTTAATATTATATATATTTATATAATATTGCAGGTAAATTTAAAAAATAATCTATTTCACTAAAATGTATTATGCTATATTGCCCATATATTTATAGTTAAAAAGAAAATATTAATGAGTATTGGTTTTAATTAGGAAATCAAGTTGGAATTTTTCAACAAGTGAGTACAAAAAAAGAATGCGATTAACAAACAATTGAAAGTGGCTCATAACTAACAATTTGCAGAGCTCAATGGATGATGGACATAAAAGTAATCTTTAGTATGAGGTACATAAATTAAATTATATTTCATTATAAGAGAGATCATGTTTAATTTGCAGAAGAAATGGACCATTCAGAATTAAATCAACTCACTTTGAACTGTCAAGTCGTATGCATTAAGTACATTACTAATTTTTTGTACTTGGTCTTTCCATAATTCCAAAGTTTTTAAAAGGTTCATAAATGAATTATGTTCTTGAGGCAATACATTCTTTAGTAAAATCAAAATTTGAGTTGCCTGCAAATTAAGATTCATATTAAACACAAAATACCAACAAACTTTAACAACACCAAACTTAAGTTCATTACAAGAAATTTAAATCATAACATTTCAATTGAATGTATTTTACTAATATACTACAAACTATGTTAATATTTCTAAAAAAATTATTTTTTATATGGAATTACATATATAATTTTAAATAATAAAACAAAACTTTATTATTACTTTTCTATTACTGGCAATCGATATACTATTCTTACTTATTATACTATTTTTTAATATTTGGAAAATATTGAAAAATGTGTTTTTCTGAATGTATCAATAATAAAAAAAATTTATGTTCGCCTCCTACGCCTTATATGGGTGTCAATTTTGATTTCTCAAATAACAACACATAATTATATATTAATTTAATTTTAACTTGATTATTAGATAATAATGTAATTAAAAAAATGAGTGGTCAATAAAAATATTTAGACCAGTAGTTCAGAAGTTATTAACATATTTATATTTAGACAGGATGAAGAAAATAACTGGGAAATTTTTAGTTATAAAAATAACAGCACTCACTTTTCACTTCCAGTCTCAATTACTTACTTAATTGTTAATAATTTCCAAAATGCTAGTCCATAAGTTGTTATCAACCAGTCATTTTCTGTATTAGATCATTATCTAATAAAATTAGCTAGTTAATTATGTGTATTTGAGTAGATAAAGTTGACACCCTTATAATGGAGAGAAACATTGATGTAAAAAAAAAACAATTAAAAAAATTATTTTTATTTTTTGATTAATTAAGTGGTTTTATGATAAGTGAATCACCCTGTAAATAATTAGAGATCAGGTATTTATAATTAGTATCTTTACCATGCAATAGTCATCTCTAATTGTAAGGTAAAACAATTCAGTTTCAGATATAGGTCTTCCGTGAGAAATCATTTTACTACACATCTTCAATGTGCCCAAATCTTCGCTTTGCATAAAACTTTTATAGTGTAACCATAAATTAATATATGTTTGACAAATTTCAGAACGAAGATCTGTTGATAGCTTACTAATCAAGCTTAATTTCCATTGTAAATTTCTAGTAGGTATTTGTATCAAACTACCAAAAGTATATACATAAAATTCATATTTATTTCTTAAATTAAAACTAATAATAACTTACTCAAAACATATCTTATAAAATGGCAATGTTTCAAATTGTGTAGGCTTTCTCTGCATATTATGTTTAACAAATTGATTTTGACAGTATTCATAATTTTTATTTTGAATTTCAGTATGAAACTAAAGTTATAAATTAATTTTATTCAGATTAAACATACTTCATGTTAATTTACATATTTTTACACAGTAATAAAAACAAAGAATTTTTTTTGCTGTTACTGTTATTAGAATTCCTTATAAAAAATATTAATGAGTTAAAAAAAATTTTATTACGAGTAATTATTTAGTTAAAGGCATTTTAGCACATAGAATAGGAAAGTATGTATGGCAGGACATGTTAGACAAGTACTTTATAGTACTAGAGTAGTCTCCTAAAGTTCCTATTGACCTATTAAAATTTCTTAAAGAAAATCTCAACTACTATTTCAAAATTTTGAAAAATGTATTATTTTTTTATTAAATACAAATGATAAAAATTATCAGTTAAATACATTCTACTTAGTATAATATTATTTTTGTCAATATAGATATATTACCTTTAGATTTATAAAGAAAATAATAAAAAAAAAGAAACCATTTTAATACATCATATTTGTTACAAAAAATATGACTATTTTAATGAAGAGAAGTGAAAATGAGTGGGTTTATTCATAACTTAGAATAAAAATTAATTTAAATAAACAGATGAGGCAATTTATCATTTACTCTCACAGAAACAACATAATTGGTTAATACATCAATAGAAAATGTGCAACAACCACTTATACAAATGTTAACGAGCATACATTAAAATTAAATCAAAAGCCAATACCTGGTAATTTCCTTTATTTTCTAGAAATCTATTGAGGACTATTTTTTCATTACTCATCATCATCAATTGTTCATAATAATAAATTTGTTCTTCATTTGGTAACTCAAAATCGGGAACTTCATAAAATAAATAAATTATAACTATAAATTATCAATTGTTTAACTACAAAAATAAGTAGATTTTTAAACCCTAGAATTTATTATTTCTGGTAGCATCAGTTTTTAAAATATAAAATATATAATGTTAAGGCTAAAGACCAAAATCGGATGATGTGCATCTCAGCCAATTTTAGACATTAGTAAAGAAGGGTTATTGTATAATTTACAAGTAAACACAAGTTGAAGTAAAATTAGTCATACTGTTTTGGCTAATGTAGAAATAATTTTTTTTTTTCAAGAAAATATATGAAATTAATATTTATTTTTGTAACTAGTTTACATTGAATTATTTAAAATCTAATGTAATTAATTATGTGAACATATAATTTTTATAAACATATCATTTTATTAAGTTAATAAGTAATAATAAAAATAATGTTTTAACACTATTTAAAAAGTAATACTAACCTTTGAATTCATATTAATATGTATTTTTATAATAATTATAATAATTTTATCAATAAAGATATTAATTAATATAGTAAATATTAAGTTTAATGTAAAAAAAAATTATTTCCAAGGATAAAATTTAAGATTTTTTTTCAAATATTTTTTTCTTCAGGTATTTCCTTCAAATTAATAAGCGACTCAATACATACAGTGAAATATTACCTTGTGTAATATTGATTTAAAAGTTCCGTTTTTTATCTAAAACAAATTGACAATTTTTACTTTATCCAAACTTAAGTGGCTGATGTATATAATAACCCGTTAAAGTAGGAAATTATTAAACTTTTATACTTTATTCAATTGATGCAACTAACGAATACATTAGTCCAAAATTAGCTGACTACTGTGTACTTCAATCGATTTCAGACTTTAGCCATAACATATCTACATATTAATAATGTATATATTGATAACTAATTAAATATCACATGGAAACTTACCAACAGGATAATGTACTTGAAGATTATGTCTTCTTACATTATAAGTGTTTGGTACATTAGGGTATATACTTTTATTAAATTGCAATTCAACTCCACTGGAAAAATTAACCAACTTTATTAAATTTTCTTGAACAAATATATTTTTGTTAGAATAAAAATAAAAAATTGGAATTACAAAAATTTTATACAAATAATTACTATATTAATTTGAAAATATTCATTTCTTAAATCATGTAACTAGTAATTTTATAGCTTTTATAAAAATAATGTTATGTCCTAAAGTTCATGCACTTAATATATTAAATTTAATTCACTAGTTTTCTTTTTTTTAATCATTTTGAAATAAAAGTACAATTTATTAAATTAGAAATAATTACCGTGAGTGAGCATAAGCCGGAATTTTATCTCTTGGTTTTGTTTGTTTATTGTCACGTTCAAAGATTGGCTTTTGATAGTTGGTATACATTTTCTATAAATACTAAATATTTAAAATTTATAATATAAAAGCATTTATAAAATTACAATGCAAAAAAATATTATTTCTGATTTTTTTTTTTAATTTCGATAAATTAATATCATAGTATTCTATAGAATAAAAAGTATTAAAAATATTAATAGTAATAAATGATAGTCAAAATTTTAAAGTACAAAATTTAACCTTCCAACTTAATTTACCAGTTACTTCCCAGCACAAAACAAAAAACACACTTTTCTAAGCATATAGAAAACCTTGTTATTATTATTTAAAACTTTAATAAATTATACATTAAGCTTTAAAAACAATTGTCAAAAACTGGTGGCATTACCCTCAATCAATAATTTATAGCAAAATAAAAAAAATCATCATTAAATTATACATTTAAAAAGATTTATAATAGTAAATTTATTGTATAAAAATGCATCAAGAGATTTTATTTGAGTCTAATAATATTTTTATATATTATAAAATATACAAATTATAAAATACTCCACTTAACAGTTTCAAAAATAAATATACGAATAGTTAATAAAATTCATTAATTATATTAATTATTAATTTCATTTATCATTTTATTTAATAACAAACTAAAAAATTAAATAATAAGTGTCATTTCTGGTAAGATAATTTTATTCAAAGAACATAAAATTTACAAAGAAAAAATATTCATTAAAATTGTACAAATTAATGACATTAAGTACATGTATCATAAATGCAATAAAATTAATACTCAAGATTTACTTACTAAATAAATAGTAAATTATAAAAAATATTAGAGAAGTCAATATAAGATTTTCTCACTAAAACGTATTAAAAAAAAATGTATTCTTTAAAACACTTTATGGAAGAGCCGACTTAGTTTGTAGAAAAGCGAATTATCTACAAACGCCCTCATCTGGTTAAGACTTAAATAACAACAGTAATACAAAGAAATAAAGATTGGGAAATCTGACGCTAACCGCGACTATCTTTAAATATATATACAACAAGCACTACAATAATTAATTATCGGGTAAAAATTCTATATAATAATACCAATAGTCAACATCAAAGGGTCTTATATTTCATAAAAATAGATATGTCCAGTAAAAAATAACAGTGTAGCCATTTAAATCATAGGCAATAAGCAAAACATTTTTCTAATTTTTTATTTATTTCTAAAATTGTAGTTTAAAGAAAAGTTAAGATCACTAACAAGTTTTAGTATAATTCTCTTCTAAAAAGTGTTTTGAATTCACTCCTAGATCTACTTTCTAGACTAATGAAATTGAGTAAATTACTTTGATTGTCACCTTAGATTTACTAACCTGTTAATATGATCATGGTTCTCACAGATAATTATTTCAAGCTAAATAATTATGACCAAAAAAGATCATTTCTGCATGCATTATATTTGTAGCTACTCAAAGTTTATTATTGAATGTCTCCTTATGAATTATCTGTTTTAATAATTGAAAACTTTATATAATAAATTTTTTTTTGCGAGTTGGTTTTCAACAAATTGTTAATAGAGCATATGGTTAAAAATCAGCAAATGCTACAAGACTAAAAACTTTCATTATTTTTAAAATTAGCCTTTCCAGTCCTTGCGTTCATTGCAATGGACAAATTTTTGTTACGTTTTTTCTTACTTTAAATCGTAAATAACCACAGAATGATTTTAATGTAAAGCAATGTTAAAAGATAAATTATACATTATCAATAAATGAGAAATAGCAAAAATTGTGAACATCTCCTATAATTTATTTCAAATTTGTTGTAAAATGACATTTTACCATCCTTTACTAGTATACATGTTATTAGTACAGAAACGAAAACTTTCACAAGTATAAGTACTTAAATAATTAATAATAGATGTAAAACCAAAAATCTAAGGTGTATAAAATTATATTTGATTAAGGTGATAACATTTTTTATTTTTTTTTACATGAATATACAAATACCATACAATGATTTTATATCAAATTAATGAAGAAAATATATCTTGATTAAATAACTTTTTGCTAGTACTTTCTAATCCATTTAGATTGTCCGCTATTTTTGTATTTAAACACAACCATTTATTTTTACCCATTTGTTTGTAAAATTTCACAACATAATTATTCATTGTAATAGATAATATGTTACCAATATGTGACCAACTAACTTTCCATTTCTCTTTTTCAGGATCATTAATTTCAGTTTCTTTCCAATCACAACAATCATCACTTTCCCATATAATCACTCTACCATCAGAGGAACAACTTGCTATCATATATTTTTGGATTCCTGGAGATGGACACCAACTTACATCTCGTATTATTGCTAACTGATTATCAGATTCGTGCAATAAATTCCATGCACATTTTTCATCTTTCCATATTTTAATTTTACAATCATTACCACCACTAAGTATTACTTTATGCTTATTAATTAAATAAGGTGCCCAACTTAAGCTGTTAACACCATTTAAATGGGCATTTGGTATTTTCGACACATCCCATTTATGATCATTATATGTATGAATTGAAATAGTACCATCAGCACTAGCACAAGCAATAAGGGCTCCGATTTTGTGAGGAGCCCAAGAAATAGCTTTAACAGAAGAAGTGTGTCCATCATAACTGTAAATAGTGACCCACTGATTAGATTTGTTTATTTTTCTAACTATCAACTTACAATCAGATCCACAAGAAGCTAAAAATCCAAACTTTGGATAAGAAAATGACACTTGCCATACAGGACCTACATGATCCTTCAACTCTATTGTCGGATTTTTATTGGCTTCAATAGTATCAACAATTTGAATTATGCCATCAGCTGAACTAGTACATACGAAACGACTATAGTAATCAATATCAGATGATAGGATTTGGCGCTGGTGAGTACTATCACTTGTATTCAATACGGATAACATAATTTTTGAATACTTAATCAAATAAAAAGTGAATAATTAAAAATGTTTAGTGTTCACCGTTACAAAAAAATATTTCTAACAGACAAAAACTAAACACTCAAAATATCTACCATGTGATACTAACAATATTTTCAAGAGATAAAAACTAACTTCAAAACACAGATGTAGATAGTAAACTAGAACTGGTGATAACAACTTATGAGGCAAATAACTGCCATTTATTTTCTGGGCAAACATTTCATTTCTATATTTCGTATAAAAACATTTTTTAGCTTCGATGCGAAGCTGAGAAGGTATTTATTTTACTATGATGAGTTTTTCTTTTTGTGTCTGTTAACACTTTTTCTCAGCTCTCACTGAACCGATTTCTTTTAACGATACGTCAAAAGATCACAAATCGTATCTAGTCGAATACATTACCCTTAAAATTAAAAACAATTTCCCTCGTTCNCGTATCTAGTCGAAGACATTACCCTTCAAAATTGAAAAAATTTCCCTCGTTCCCCCTAAATGGGGGAAACCTCCAAAAAAATTACAAATTTAAAAATCGCTAATTTTCGAAATTTTTTCAAATTTTTTTACTTAAAACTGCTATAACTTTTTCAAAATTGAACAAATCAATGTAATTTTTTTTTATAGATGCATGATGTCTTTAACTATCATTTGATATATTTTTTTTATAAATCTAAACCTTTACCTGCCTACAGGGGGGATTTAAAATGACAACTTTTTCACAAAAAATTAACTTTTGAAAGTCTTCCGAAAAGCCTGACACTTTTATATATATCTTAAATTAAAGCTAATATTATATACTTAATTAGGGAAAATAAAAATTTCAGGTTTTATCTTGTCTACACCATGAAAATGGCTACCATATGCTATTTTTGTGTGAAAATTNTTGACCTCTGGACTTGTCTTCATGGTGAAAACGGCTACCGAATGCTATTTTTGTGTGAAAATTTTCGATTTTATAATTTACATTTTTTACTTTAAAGTGCTATAACTTTTTAAAAAATGTATGGATCAATACAATTTTTTTATGAGAAGTACTATTTGTATACATCTTTTATTCGACATATTTTTTTTAAATCAAACTACTTCCCCATATACGGGGGGGGGGTCAAATCTGAAAAATGCATATAGAAAGTAGAACTTTTTCAACTTAACTTTTTTAAGTGTTCCGGAAGATCTGACACTTTTATATATATATTAAATTAAAGGTAATGTAATATACTTCATTATAGAAAAAAAAAATTTGACCTCTGGACTTGTTTTCGTGTTGAAAATAGACATCAAAGTTAATAAAAAAAATACGATTTTTGTAAAATAATTCTTTTTTATATTTTTAACTTAATACTGCTATAACTTTTTGGAAAATGTATGGATCAACACAATTTTTTTATGAGAAATAATATTTTTTAATAAACCCTTTTTCATTCGACATACTTTATCTTAATCGAGATATTAATAAGGAACCAGCAGATCAAGTAGCTTTTGGAATAAAACACCAATTTTTTTAAAATTAAACACTATCTAAAGATTTGCATCGAAGCGTTTTTTTTTTATAGTGATTTTAATCACTGTCAGATATCATTATACTTGATCCAACTATGCCACGTCACACTGTGCCGCGACCACCCTGTGCTGGGTTTTATATATAATTTTTACATTTTTTACACACGAATAAAATTTTAGTTGCGCGTAAGTGCGCCGGACTTACCATTTGATGTCCAGTTTACGACTAACTTACAATACATACCTACGTTGCACCGCCCCATACTTTTTCTATAACAAAAGTATCTCCTGTTTTTCCTCAATATCAAACAGTCTGCTTTAAGTAACAAAAGCGTCACTTTTTCAGCTTCGCACCGAAGCTGAAAAGGTATTAATTTTACTATGATGTGTTTTTTTTTTTTATTTTTTTTTTTTTGTGTCTGTGAACGCTCAATCTAAGATCTCGCTGGACCGATTTTCATGAAAAATATTTCAAAAGATTACAAATCGTATCTAGTCGAAGACATTACCCTCAAAAATTGAAAAAAATTCCCTCGTTCCCCGTAAACAGGAGAAATCCCCCAAAAAATTACAAATTTAAAAATCGCTAATTTTCGATATTTTTTCAATTTTTTTTACTTAAACTTGCCATAAGTTTTTTAAAAATTACTGAATTAGTTAAATTTTTTTTTATAGATACCTTAGGTATTTACCTATCATTTTATATATTTTTGTGAACATTTGACCCTTTACAAGCCCACAGGAAGGGTTTCAAAATGGTAACTTTTTTACAAAAAAGTAACTTTTTCAACTTAACTTTTGAAAATGTTTCGGAAAGACTGACATTTTTATATATACCTTAAATTAAAGCTAATGTAATATACTTTAATTTGAAAAAAAAAATTGACCTCATGGTAAAAATGACTACTGTATTCAAAAATATGCTATTTTTGTGTTAAAATTCTTGGTTTTGTATTTTAAAATACCTTACAAGGGGAGTACAGATTTTCATAAATATTATATAAATAAAAAATTGATATAGCCTAGAAAGTTAAACTTATTTAAATTTTTTTGCTTTTTGAAGTCGAGAAAAATAATTTTGAAATTTGAATTAGGTTAAATAGTCAATTTTTTCAGCCTACGGTAGCGATGTACGGTTGCCGAGTTGGTTCAACTTATGTATTACGTGCTTGGGATACAATGTTCCTACCCGCGTATGGCAAGGAACTTTTTGCTTTTTTCTTAATTCTTTTTAAGTTAGAATAAATTTTCAACTGCTATAATTTTTATCTCATTTCGATTCAATAACTTCAATAAAGATCAAGGATCCCATCACTGTAGTCGCCACTCGCGAGAAGAAATTTTTTATTCATATTAAAATTATTTTACTATATTTTAAGTTTTAGCTTCGATGCAAAGCTGAGAAGATATTTTTTTGTGACTATCATTTATATTCTCTGCTCTAACTTGAACTACTTTTTTCAACGATACGTCAAATGACTACAATTCGTATCTAGTTGTAGATATTACCCTCAAAAATTGAAAAAAAATTCTAATTTATCGATGAAACAGTTACTTATCCCATGTTCTCCATACAAGCAATTAAAATAATTCATTCCTAATGTTTTCAAGGTATTTATTGACGAATCAAGTTTGATATTATAATTTGATATGATAGGTTTCAAATAAAAAATTAAATCATTTTAATTTGTATTTTAATAATTTTTTTACTCTACTTGTGTGTGCTACTACTAGACTATAATATTCCAAATTTTTTGGTAACATGTTGCTATTCCTAAAAAAAATGATGGTTAATTTCTCCTGAATTAAAAATGGATTTTTACAATTATAATTAAATTTTATAATACGTACAATTTAACAAATTTGTTTCGATTGGTTCATTTAGTAAAAGCAAATCATTAAAATTAATTAAGTTCTGAATATTTCAATTGTAGAATATTTTTAAACACCAAAAGTTACTAGTTAATGATTACTATTATTTCTATTTCAGTTATCTATTACGATAAAAATGCAAAAAAAAAATGAGTTTTTCTGATAAATATACTATAAATAGTAATTATAAAATTTTCTGACTGCATATTAATCATAAAAATAGCATTGTTTTAATTCTCATAGAATTTTCTATTTAATGATGTCAATTTCAAACTTGTAATTGAGCTAAAAGTTATGGTAACATATTCAATTTTTTTTACTATAAACTTTCACAAAAATTTTTCATAAACTTTAAAGAACCAAAAAAATAGGTTAAAAATGAAAATTTGGACTGATTATTTTTAACATATTAAAAATCAAATTAAAAATAATTTGAAAACAATTTTTTTTTCTTTTAATTATTATTTTATATGTAATTTGTAATAATATAAAAAATTAGAAGTGATAGAAAAAGTCTAATTGCATATTTAAAAATAACGCGAAAAGTTGATTTAGAAATGTATATTTTTGGTTCTGATGAAAGTTCCTTGTAGCCCAGTGCATTTATTTATAATAACAAACAATTTTTATTGAAAAATATTGTATCAAGCCCTTTAAATATTTATACACGTAAAACTAAAGCAAAATATAACTTCTTTATTATTATAATTTCTCCGTATAAATTACAATATTAAATTATTTAATATCAATTTCATACTAAATTTAATAACTATAATTAGTATTTATTCATATATTATATTTTAAAATCAAAGAACTACTAATCAGGATATAAATCAAAGAAATAAGAATTGATGTTGCTTTTGGAATAATCCACCGATTTCTCTATGTGAAACACTATCTACAGATTTGCATCAAATCGTTTTTTATGATAGTGATTTTAATCACTGTCAATTATCATTTATACTTGTCTCATCTATGCTTCGTCCACACTGTGCCTCGACCCCACTGTGTTACCGTTTTTTTCTTTCTGTTGGTGCTAAAATTTTAGCTGGTTGGCCATATAACATCATAAAACTGGCCACAATCATTTCTACCTTATGAAGAGAGTATTCATAGGCAAGGTTTAGCTCTTTCAAAAATATTGAAAATTTGTAATTAAAAAAATCGCAAAATCAACATAAATTTTACTGAAAAATTATATATAAAGTGAGAACAATAGAAACCCGTTTTCTTACTTTCTGAACACTCTATATATCACTGCATAAATTAACAATAGTTTGTATTTAATTTCATATACAAACTTTTTAAAATTTATATTTAAATATATAATCTTAGGGTTTTTAGTGCATTAACCCCGAACCTCATTTATAAATGTTAACTTTTAAATTTCATACGTACATAATTAACCAATTTATTTATTAGATAATGTTCTAATTAAGAAAATGATTGGTTAATAACAACTTTGGACCACTATTTTAGAAGTTATTATCATTTTTATATTTAGGCGGCAGAATGAATACGGAAAGAGCAGAAAAATGTGTTAAAATATAGCAGCACCCACAATTCTCACCATTAGTTATTACTTTTAATTATTAGTAACTTTTAAAATATTGATCGGAGTATTTTTTTGGGGGATGTAGAAAGTTCAACAGGTTTTCCCAATGTTCTGATTGTGTTAGTTGATAAGTACTTGCCTGACTGTATTCATCCTCAAAACTAACTACAAGACTAATAATGATAATCAATAAATTTTCAATAATTTGAAATGATTTTA